AAATAAGGAAAGAGACGCTCTAACTACAGAACTAAAGCCTTTTTTTTTACTTTGTGTGACCATCGTTTAAATTCAAATTTTGACCAGATTTGTATATCCCAAACCAGTTTTTACATGTAAAAATTTGGGATTTTTAGCCGTAATATAGATTACATGTCAAAAGTGTTTGACATTATGGCAAATTAAAGGCATTTTGCGAAATCTAGTAAATACTATTTGAGTTTCTACCTAATCCCAAACTAGTGAGTTTGGGCCGCAACCCTAACTGGCTCCCAGTCATGCTGGTGTGATCGAATTTACAGGTATCAATAAATATTTTAAATTCTTTCAAACTTTGAACAAAGAAATCTCAGCAACCACCAGGCCAAATTCAATAAATTTTTTAAATGTTCATCGAATTTGGTCTAGTGATTGCCGAGATATCTTTGCTAAAAATTTTCGATTTAAAGTAAAACATGAATAATAAAATTGAGCATAAAAAATAACTACAAATATTAATTAAGTTATAGCTATATATAAAAACCCCTTTAATTAGGATTATGACTAAAATTTGTGATATTATATAAACGTCTCTAAAGCAATCTATAATCATATAATTGCCACTTCGCCTCACTGATCACCTCACATCGTAACTTTTGATCAGAGACGATGATTTTCTGCGTTCACGGAATTTTGCAGAAAAATCACGGATCTAATGTTGGCTGACATTAATTTGGCCAGAATTTGCAGATTGCAATGCTGGTCGACTTTACGTAATTCTGGCCAATCGCAGAATTTTTGCAGAATCCATGGAATTGGCATTTTGCCAGAAAATCATCGTCACTGCAGCACTGCTTTATGTTACCTATTCACGTGACTCTCCTCACGAATCATAATTTCAACATTGGTACGTACGTACCTCCTCATGTTATATTAATAATTAATTGATCAATTTAACGATTAATAAGAATTTGCATGTGCACCTGATTAATTGGACTAATCATATGTGTAATGAAAAAATTATTGGCTTTTTTTTACTAATCGAACTGGCATTAATTTTGGCCCCAAATCATCACAATTCGGCCCGAAACTAAGGATCAATTTTTATAAGTTAAATGGTTTTTTAATTTCGCATTTTGAATCATCTTTCGTAAATTTTGGTATTAACCCTATTTTTTTGTTAACCCTAAACCAGATGCCAATAAACATCGGATGCGCAAAATTCGCAAATTAACAACGTAGACAAAATTAGATAACGATGATAAATTGCTAACTTTTTTAAAAAAATAAATAATAAATGTATATCGATATGTATTTATAGTTAATAACCTGAAATCCCTGAGTAGGCTTTGTGAAATTAAAAGCCGACGCTGCGGTTTTAATTTGAAAGGCTGCGAGGCTTGCGTGACGGTACGAAGCCTCTAACAATATATAAAGTATAACAGTCTGCACTTCGACAAGAACTTTCGAATATCACAAATTAGTATATAGTACCATTTTTCATTTCTATAATTAGCACTTGAATCCTACTCTGCCGAGTACATACGTTATACGTAAGAACTAGTTAACTTTGCACATCCTTATATCGTCATATAATTCCGATGAGGATCAAATTATCGTGTGACCGGAAATTTCATCCTGGTTTTCATCCGCAAAGTAAGAAGTTTTAAGTAGATAATTTGGATATGTTAGTGCTAACATATTGAAGAATAGTTTAAAATTTTTAAATTTTACTAATAAGTTGCTAGCTATATAAAAAACAAATTAAAATCTTAGAATAATTCGATCTTGAATATCAACAAAATTTTAGATATTTAAAAATCATATATTTTCTTGGTGTGTAGATTTTAGAATACTTTCCAATAAGGACGATATATGTTTATTTTAAAAGCTTCAAAATTGTTTAATGCACTAAGTTTCTGTTGATTTTCTTTTTTTTGGGATGAAATGCTAAATCTTTTCGTTTCCAACACGGGTTTGCAGAACAATCAATAATATGCGCAAATATTTTCAATGGCAAACATAGAACACTTAATTGCAGCATAATGTTTTTTTTGCACTTTAACAGAAAAAAAGAAAAAAAGTTCTCATACTTGATCATAGATCTGATTATAGATCTTGAGCATATTTAAACTTTTAAATGCTTGTTACAAATAATCATCTACATATCTTTCGATTGATCAACGTAAATGCCTGTCCACCTCAGTTGCTGACCATTGTATTGATCTGATATATGGTATTTCACCCCAACTAACAAAGCAAAGGACGCTTATTGATTGACATCCAGCAAACGGGACTAAATCCAGATGGTTAAAGCAACTATTAAAAGAATCACACCTATAATAAATTAGTGTGTTATCTTCTATTGGTAAGACCTGATTCAAAGATTTTAAGAAATCATCGTAGCAATCCAAACTTCGTCCAATTAATTGCTCGATATCAAGTTCTACTTCATATTTATCCGATAGACCTTGCATCAGGTTAGATATACACCAACTAGGTTCAGCTGTGCTGTAATTTGAACATCCAGCTTTTTGACTTTTTGCTATTTTAAATAGTTTAAGCTCTTTGTCAAACTGTTCTTGAGTCCTTGCCCAGTAAAGATATTTAATAGAATCATAATACGCGTGAGCATCAAAATCATTAAAAACTAAAGGATCTAATGATTCAAAAAGCTGACTTGCATCAAAGCTAGGTCTTCGTTTTCTTGAAAGCTCAACCTCTTCACAATCACGAATAATAACTTTCCGACTAGCACTCCATTTACTAGTATTCCATTCGAGCATTCGAAATTCAGGGTGTACATATGATTTGAAAAACAGATCAAACGGTATTGCAATACATTTTCCAAACTCATCCTCGAATGGCTCTAAGGCAACATGATTACCTATCCATGTGTTATTATGAGGATGGAATCGTAAATAAATTTTATCGAAAACATACTCGGAAATGGTATTTCTTTCAATGATAATATTTTTGATACATTGATCTAATTGCCATAAAGCTCTTCTCCCAAATTTCGATTGTTGATGAACCTGAGGTAACTGTAATATTTCTGAAATATGCTTCAACATTACACTAAAACAATTTCCGGTGTCTGAAAAAGCGCCATATGTTGAAAAATATCTGCTATAATTAGATCTTGAGAATTTGCCGATACGATTCATATCAAAGATGCCATTTACTTCCATGACTTTTTCCGAAAATTTTCTGTTGTGTTCTTCGACGTATTGAACTATTTTTTCATGTTCCAGATAATTAATGTTTTCATCTTTAATTTGGTCTGCCTTTGTGTTAAAACTCTTTACACGTAAAAAAAAAAAAAATAAAAAATAAAAAATCAAAGCTTGGATTAGATAGACTTGATATTTGTTTATTTTTTCAAGAGTTTAACCGGTACCTTATTTGGCCTATCTTCACAGCCAAAACTAAGTTCATATAATGGCTTTTCAACAACGTATGTCATTTCTTTTTTTCTATCGTAACTCCCGAAATGTGAGTTTTCTATGACGTTAAAAATTTGAGTCCCAAAATTGTGTGAAATTTTTATTGCAGCCACAACCTTTAACGTAAACTAGCAAGTTTTTTGATCAGAGTGACGATGAGTCCATGTGATAATCGACTTTTATTGGTAATCTTGTTGTCATTCAGGTCATGTGATATTACATATTTACATGTTTTGACTAAATCGAGTTATTGTACAGAATTTTTAGTTATCCCCACACTTTATTACACAATTAAATTCCGTATAAATTCATGAATAAATTCGATATGAGAGTATATAATGTTTGTTTACTACATTCCGATTGGGTGTTACTACAATAGTCAATAATTTCATCAAAATTTATGCAGGGACTATTTACTTAATAGCCTTTCGAACTTAACATTTCTCAATCTTTTTTTCCAGATGAGCATAGATCAGTAAACTACTAGTGAACTCAACATCGAACATACCCTAAACTCAAACTATACATAAAATATGAATGAAAAAAAAATAACATCTATTGTTAATTCCTAAACATAAATTTATAATTTATTCATCTTTACAAGAAGCAACTTCATGTAAATATGCACCAAATAACTTAATTCCTTGAATATAATTTGAACGATCAAGTTTTTCATTAATTGAATGTGCGCCCTAAACAATAAAATATCATAAATAAAATAGCAATAAATACAAACTGAAATAATTTTAATAAATGTATGCGTACGTCATCACCACGACCCATTGGAAGTAATAAAACATTCTTATTCAAAGCATCTTGAAATGTTAAAGTAACAGGAATAGAACCACCTTCACGTGTCAAATCAGGTTTGCATTTGAAAATTCTTTCAACAGCTTTAGAGGCAGCAACTATTCGTTTAACAAGTATAAAACAATTAGCATGTATCTTATATAGAAAAACAAATATATTAGGGCTGTTCTCAAGTGTCTCCCTCTATGGTTTATAGGATGACCAAATTTGCTAATAAAGTAAATTGTGATAATAATTTAAATCAAATTAAAATAAAGAATTCGCGCGATAAATTTTCGACAAATTTGTTGTAAGGATCACATCAATTAATTTCAATTAACCGAAATAATTGAGCAATATCTCTAGCAAGTCACGTTGAAGGAGTCGCTTAAAAACAGCCTAAGTAAAACGTACCATAATTCCAATGATTAGGGTTTGCAATCCATGGCTTGGCACCATGTAAACACTCTACACTAATAGTGTTTTTGCTACCCAGTTTCGCAAATTCATCTTTCAAATATTTTTCGACCAGTTCATTAATGCGATTGGGATCCATATTCGGAACAAGTCTAATTGAGAACTTTCCGGTGACTTTCGCAGGTAAGACAGTTTTGAATCCAGGACTAGAAAATGCACCTTCAATACCATGAAGCGTAAGTGATGGATAACGCCATCTATAAAAGAAAAATTGAGATAGGTTTACTCACAAATAATTTATAAATTATTAATTTAAGAATCACGAATGTTTTTATAGTTCTTATAATAAAATAAGTATACCGGTGTTGTAATGTTTCTATTTCATTGTCGAAAATGTTTGTCTTTGATTCAATAGCAGAGTGCAATTCGCTCAATGAAAATTCTAATGATTTATATATCTGGTTTTCTGCATCTATATGTTTTACAAAATTTATTAAATAATTAGAATAATTAGGTAATAAATTATATATTATTGCTATAAAATGCTTACCAGTCAGTGGTGCAACGTCATCATTAACTCCCGTAACCAAAATTTCACCACTTGGAGTAACCAGTTTACTGAACAAATGAAATAGATCAGTCATAGGCTCATGGACAGTACCACCAAAGACACCCGAGTGGAGATCTTTTCCTGGACCGGATATGGTGACTTTATATGCACAAATGCCCTGTTAAGAAAATTATGTTTACAAGTTTAGTACGAGGTTATATTAAAATAAGATTCAATTTTGGTTTAAAGACGATGTAACTTACACGTAACCCGTACGTCAAACAAGGCTTAGTCATACCTAACCAGTAGTTATCTGAGATGCATACAGCGTCCACATCTTTAAAATATTTGTCAGCCTCTTTGGAAATCAATTCTTCAAGTCCTTCTGATCCATTTTCTTCCATCCCTACAAACATAAAAAGAATTCAATATTATACCTTCTCCAAACCTTTAATAAAATATTTATCACCTTCGAAGCAGATCTTCAAGTTAACAGGAAACTCTATATCGGCATTTTGATGTGCTTCAATACAATTAAGCCACCCAATGATAGGTCCTTTATCATCGCTAGCACCTCTGCCAACTAATTGACCCTTGGGAGTTTCGATCATATCAAAAGGTTTGGAGTCCCAGCCATCTTCAAGTAAAGCCTTTTACAAAATGTTTACAAACATCAAATAATCACAATAATATTTATTGAAAAAAATTGAACGACAATAGATTATTAAAAGTCTCACAGGCTGAACATCATAATGTCCGTAGACTAAAATGGTTTTTTTATTAGGATCGTTGCCATAAGTACCCAAAATAATGGGCGGCAGTTGCAAATTTACACCATCCATATCGTGGCAGCCTATGTCGCGAGCTTCATATCTATTAATTCATATAATATTATATCATGAATAGTTATGCAATGAATGTTCGGACATTTAAATTACGTTATATGACAAAAGTTTACTTTGTAATTAATTAGCGACAGAATTTTCATACATAATAAGAATTTTATCTATGTAACATAACTGTTCTTTTGGTACCAGATAAATGAATTGACACTTGATCGTAGCATTACTTAGCATTTGGTACTAAATCATGGGTTGATCTATTTTCTGGTACTTGAAAGTTACGTTGAATGGTTAAAATTATTATCGGAAACGAAAATTCTACCATTAATTAAAGGTTAAAATAAGCTTTTAGTCTATTAAATGAAATTCAAATTGTAATTTTTACTTAATTCCCAGTTTCTCAAACAAAGAAGTAAGCCAATGAGACATACGGATAACGTCATCTCGACGATCGACAATTGAGCTTATGCTAAAATTATAAATGTTCAATCCATTAATTGTGAATAAAAGGTCGGCACAATGAGCAGTTCACAAAGCATAATTTTTGCTTTTAAACGTATGCAATGTTTGCAATGCTATACACACAAATTCATACACATATATTACCTTGGAATGGCGACAGCTTCTCTTAACCTCTCAACATAATCGTCTTGATTCTGATCAACGGTTTTGTATAAGGTTTCCAAGGCCGTATCGTTCACCATTATTTAGTTTATTAAACTTGCCTGCTTCGTGAAATAGTAGTCCAAACGAGTGCAAAAAAGCCCGATCTGTTATCATCCGAACATGCTGTATCAGTCATTTATCCGTCACGACCATGTCTGGCCAATAAATGTCCTTTCATATGAAAAATTATCTTTCTCACGTGAATGAATGTACATCCAAGCACTCTGTCGATGATACTTGCGATTACGTACGTATGTATTTCCGTTGTTAACGTAAATGTAAACTCGTACATACATTATTGTGCAAATTTGGATATTGTCGTTATGAATACATGTACAAATAGAGGAAAGACGCAGACATGTATAATAGATTTATGGGATTATATTGTATTACGACCAATAAACAAGGCAAAGAGTCAAGTTAAAATTAGTTAAACTTTCAATTACGAACCAAAAAAGCGATTTAACGTCATGATAAATTACACCAAGAATATCTCGTGATTATCAATTATAGTATTAACTATTTTAGCTATAATAATATGGGGTTGTTAATAGAAACCAAGCAAATATTTTTTAATAAGTTTTTTTAAAATTTCAAACAAGAATAACTTAACAAAACTCAATAAATTTTTTTTTAAATTAATTCTACAAGTTTGTAAAAATTATTTAAAAAAATTTTTATTAAATTTGGTTAAGTTTTGATCAAGTTATTCTTGTTTAAAGTTATAAAAAATTTTTTTATAAAAAATTTGCTTGATTTCTATTGACTCATCCCCATATGTTTATATTGTTTGAGCTTAAATTTGTAGTATATGGGGTCTTTGCCTTGAAAATAACTTTACAGTACATGATACTATAAGGCAGTATTGTACACAAACATTGTCTTGCCAATTTTATACAAACATAAATAGTTCTAGACAATATCCTATATTTCATATTCACAATGATATCCTGGCAAGACATTGTATACAGACATTGTTCTACTAATTTTAAATTTTGTTTCTACTATGTTTGGGACAAATCAATTAGATAAAACAAAAATTATTATGATGAACTTATATTTATTTAAATTGAATATACAATTAATGATATAATTGAAGTTTCTCAAGCATTATCTTTAATATAATTATAACAAAACTCAATTAATTCTCATGATCTTTTTAGCCTACTTCAAAATGAAAAATAAATATAACAATAAAAATCATATATACATATTGAATAATTTTATTAGCTGATGATTATACAGTATATTAATTAATATAAATAAATATTGATATTTAAAATAAAAAAATTCTGAATAAATGTTCCATCCTAGACTGTCTACTGTTCATATCCATATCCTATAACAATATTGCTATAAGATCATTTTCAAGTCAAATACTCTATATTTTATTATTAAAATATAGAGTTTTTCTATATATTTCTGGCCAGAGATATATAAATTATATATCTCTGGCCTATTGGCCAATTAAAACAAGCAAAGATCATATGACCTATTTTACAGATCATTGGCTAGCAAGAAAAATTTGTGCAGCCCAAAATCTAACTTAACTTTCTGAATATAAAAAATTGGCCAATCAAATTCAATTATGCAAAAAACAGAAGTTTTTAAAAATTTTTTTTTAAAAAGTATTATTTTTTTATTGATTATTATACAAAATTAAAAAAACACAATGCAAAAACAAATACAAAAAAAATATCTAAAATTGCCAAGAACAAGATGTTCAAAAGCACCAAAAAAAATCTATAATGCTAAAAATGCCAAAATGCCCAAAGATAAATACCAAAGAATTCACCATACAATGCCAAGTTGTTTAGAGACAAATACTAAAAACTATATAATACTAAAAGTGCCCAAGAAAAGAATTCTTCACATAATGCTAAAGATGTTCAAAGACAAGACACCAAAGAATTTATTACATAACACCAAAATGCTCAAAGAAAGAATTTATCACAAAATACCGAAAGTATCTAAAGAAAGAATTCATTACAAATGCCAAAGGTGTTCAAGAACAAACACCAAAGAATGCTCCATATAACACTGAAAGTGTCTAAGAAGGAACTAATCATATAACACTAAAGGTGTTTAGAAACAAACACCAAAGAATTCTCCATATAATGCTGAAAGTGTCTAAGAAAAGAATTCTTTACATAATGCCAAAGATGTTTAAGAACAAACACCAAAGAATTTACTACATAATACTGAAAGTACCCAAGGAAATAATTCTTTACATAATGCTAAAAGTGTCTAAAAATAGAATTCTCCACATAATACCAAAGATGTTTAAGAACAAACACCAAAGAATTCTCTATGTAATGAAAAAGTGTCTAAGGAAAGAACTCACTATACAATGCCAAAAGTGTTTAAGGACAAACACCAAAAAATTTTCTATATAATACTAAAAGTGCCTAAGGAAAAACTCACTACATAATGCTAAAGATATTTAAGGACAACACCAAAAAATTCTTTACATAATGCCGAAAATGTCCAAGAAAAAAATTTTTTACATAATGCCAAAGGTGTTTAAGAACAAATATTAAAGAATTTACCACATAATGCTAAAAGTGCTCAAGAAAATAATTTCTTACATAATGCTGAAAGTGTTCAAGAAAAGAATTTTCCATATAACACTAAAGGTGTTTAAGGACAAATACTAAAGAATTCTCTATGTAATGCTGAAAGTCCTAAGGAAAGAACTTACTACACAATGCTGAAGATGTTTAAGGACAAATACAAAAAAATTCTCTACATAATGCCAAAAGTATCCAAGAAAAGAACTCACCATATAATACTAAAAGAGTTCAAAGACAATACCAAAGAATTCTCCACATAATGCCAAAAGTGCTTAAGAAAAGAATTCTTTACATAATGCCAAAAGTGTTCAAGAAAAGAATTCTCTACATAATACCAAAGATGTTTAAGGACAAATACCAAAGAATTTACTACATAATGCCAAAAGTGCCCAAGGAAATTATTTTTTACACAATACTAAAAATGTTCAAGGATAGAATTCCCTACATAATTCTGAAGGTGTTTAAAGATAAACACCAAAGAATTCTCCATATAATGCCAAAAGTCTTAAGAAAGAAACTCATTACACAATGTCAAAGGTGTTTAAAAACAAATACCAAAGAATTCTCCATATAATGCCAAAAATACCCAAGGAAAGAACTCACAATATAATGTCGAAGGTGTTTAAGAACAACACCAAAGAATTCTTTACATAATGCTAAAAGTGCTCAAGAAAAGAATTCTTTATATAATGTCAAAAGTATTCAAAAAAAGAATTCACCACATAATATTAAAAGTGTTTAAAAACAAACACCAAAGAATTCTTCACATAATACTGAAAGTGCCCAAGGAAGGAACTCACTACACAATGCCAAAGATATTCAAAGACAAACACCAAAGAATTCTTCACATAATACTAAAAGTTCTCAAGAAAAGAATTCTCTATATAACACCAAAAGTGTTTAAGGACAAACACCAAAGAATTTACTATATAATGCCAAAAGTGCTTAAGAAAATAATTTACCACATAATACTAAGAGTATCTAAGAAAAAAATTTACTACATAATGCCAAAGGTGTTTAATAACAAATACCAAAGAATTCTCTGCATAATGCTAAAAGTGCCTAAGAAAGAAACTTACCACATAATGCCAAAAGTGCCTAAGGAAAGAATCACTATATAACAGCTAAAAATGTTTAAAGACAAATATCAAAATTCACTACACAATGCCAAATATGCTCAATAACAAGCACTAGAAGTGCTCAAGGACAAACTTTAGAAGATTTATAGAGCCAAATATGCCCAAGAACAAACATCTAAGATTCACAATACTAAACATTCCGAGAACAAACATCAGAAGATTTACAATGTTGAATACCTTGCAATTGC